GATAAATCGTCGCTCCTGGGAGGCAGTCTTTGGATATTCCAATTTAAAGAATAACCTTCGGTACCAAATGGGGTTTGAACCTTTGGTTGTTTTATTCAGTTTCTTCTTTTTTGTATGTAGATATGATCGTAACGATCCTGTTTTCGCTATGCGAGGATCCATGCATTCAATACAACGTGACATGGTAATGCTGGAAAATCAACTTCCTTTGTTTGTTCTTAACCGGTTATTAGAGCTACAGCTTGGTCCACGGAAGCAAACCGGTTTAGTGGCGCAATTAGCAGTTCGGTTCTTTGACCCACTAATGCCAACCGATGAACCGTTGACCAGAAACGACCAGTCAAATCTCGATGATTCGTTGGATAAAGATAATTTCTTTAACCCAATTGCCGACAAGGACAGGGACGAGTTGCACTGTCTAGATGTTTTCCGTCGAAGTTTGTTACGGCCTAGTACTACGAAGCCAGAGCCGAGGTTGTCACGGAGGAGATGGTCCTGGAAAACGCGTGTGGCAGATAAGCGCCAGCAACAACTGATACATTGTGTGTCCGAACTGAGAGAGGCCGGTATTAAATTCAGGAGAAGGAAAACCGACCGGTTTTGGGATATTAGATTCAAAAACGGTTACCTAGAGATACCAAAACTACTTATCCATGATGGTAATTGAATTAACATTTCTTTTTTCTTTCTTTTTTTGTCAACATGCATTCTACGGATTCAATTTTGGTTATAAGTTATATAACACATTCACGACACTATTACAAACTACTACTCTACTAGATTACATGTCATGGTCTAATTAAGTTCACATTTCATGAGATCTTTTACACATATTACTCATTTATACACTTCAACTTGATTCTTTTTTCTAGAAAAATAAAAAAGTTAAATACCATTGGCTCTCGTGTTTCTTGTAGGTACCAGATCTCTCTTCTCGAATCTTATAGCTTTCGAACAATGCCATATCGACTCGAGCAACGACATAACATCCTACATAATATTCATGGATAATCTAATAGATTCTCCCCAGGATGTTAGCTACTTGCACTATTGTGGTATCATCGAGCACTGGCTAGGAACTGACTCTGAAGTTGCGGATTTGTTTAACCGACTATGTCAAGAAGTTGCTTTCGACCCCCAAAATAGTTATTTATCTGAATTGTCGAACAAGGTTGATCGAAACTATAGCCGAAAGTGGAATGTTCTGAAGGCGATCTTGAAACACAAGTACTTCAATAATCCTTGGGCGTATTTCTCTTTTTCTGCTGCACTTGTCCTGCTAGTTCTTACGTTGTTTCAGAGTTTTTTTACTGCTTTTCCTTATTTTAAGCCACCTTCTTAATTTTCATTATTATTCCAGAGTTTCTTTCATTCAACTTGGAATGTTTCTATTTTCCTTTTTTTGCCGAACATTATGTATTTTCTTCAAAGTATGTATGCTTCTATTGTATTAAAAAAAACTTGACTTCACTATATTTTTGGAGCTGTATGTCTAATAAAAATAAACAAATAAACGTTTCCCGACCAACATATTCAAAGTTTGTGAAAGCAAAGATCATTTATACAAAAAAAGAATGGTGAGGTCGTGCCATCTTCCAGACAAGCTGTGTAATGGACATGTTCCGTTGTGCTCTCACCATTTGTTTTTAAATAACCTTTTCCTAACAATAACTTGTGGTTAACTTACACTAGATCATGGAATCATCTCCAAAATGGTATCTTTGGAAAAACACAAGGTTGAGGAATGTAATTCTTTAAAAGGAAAAAAAAACAAACTGATACATTTTACTTGTTACTTTTTTAATGTGTGTGTGTGGTTTTTAGATACATCTAATAATGGTTGTTGTCATTACAGATCAGTTGGGTCCATAAGTACAATAAGTAACCAATTATAGATTCAAATCATTTACATATAGTTGCTTCTGATATTTCACAACTACTTCTCTCTTCTTCCTTTCTCATTCTCCTCGAAAAGCTTCGACCAACAGCAAAAAATGGTAGCTGTCTTCTACAAAGACATGTTGAGCTGGTACTTGCTCACTCTCAAGATCCGCGAAAAACTCGAAACCGAGAACCAAGGATCCGAACCGGTTAATGAAGATCACAACCTTCCCGGTTTACCCGATATCACCAGATCCGATCAAGACCAAAACAATCAAAACCGCGAGGCCGGTAAGACCGAGGTAACCAAAGAGAGCCCAAAAGAGGCACGAGACGATTGGGTGATCTCGATTACAGACAAGCTTGAGCAAGCACATAGAGACGACGACACAACAATTTGGGGAAAGCTCTGTATCTACAGAGTTCCATATTACCGACAAGAAAATGACAACAAATCGTATTTCCCTCAGACCGTCTCGCTTGGTCCGTACCACCATGGTAAGAAACGGCTCCGGTCAATGGACCGTCACAAATGGCGTGCGGTCAGTAGAGTCTTGAAACGTACGAACCAAAACATCAAAATGTACATCGACGCCATGAGAGAGCTAGAAGAGAAAGCTCGAGCTTGCTACGAAGGTCCTTTTGGTTTGAACAGTAACGAATTTGTCGAAATGCTTGTTCTTGATGGTTGTTTTGTGCTTGAGCTCTTCAGAGGAGCCGTTGAAGGATTCCCAGAACTCGGGTAAGCCTAGTTACAAACTTACAATAGCTGGTTATGTCCGGTTATCTCATATCCGTTTTCAATCATTTTGATTTTAAATAATCGTTCTTGGTGTTATGTAGATATGCTCGTAACGATCCGGTTTTCGCAATGAGAGGATCGATGCATTCGATTCAACGCGACATGATAATGCTGGAAAATCAACTTCCTTTGTTTGTTCTAAATCGGTTATTAGAGCTACAGCTTGGTACACGGAACCAAACCGGTCTAGTAGCGCAATTAGCAGTTCGGTTCTTTGATCCACTAATGCCAACGGACGAGCCATTGACCAAAACTGACCAGTCAAAACTCGAGAACTCGCTAGCAAGAGGAGCCTTTGACCCATTTGCCGATATGGGCGAATTGCATTGTCTAGATGTTTTCCGTCGAAGTCTTCTCCGGTCTAGTCCTACACCGGAGTCAAGGTTGTCAAGAAAGAAATGGACTCGGAACACGCGTGTGGCGGACAAACGTTGACAACAACTGATACATTGTGTGACAGAACTAAGAGCAGCCGGTATTAAGTTCCGGAGAAGAAAAACCGACCGGTTTTGGGATATACAATTCAAAAACGGTTATCTAGAGATACCGAGGCTACTTATTCATGATGGTAAGTCCAGGCTTTTCAGTGTTTCTTCTTTTTAGTTCATGCCCCATATGCTTACTATTTATTTATCCATCACGTTTCCATATAAATTTATGTATAAAGTAGAAAAATATCAGTTTATAACTTTATATGGATTGGTAAAGAATATATTAGCTAGAGAATCATGATGTGATATGTAGCACAGAAATGGGACTTCTAAATTATTGTCACGTTCCAAAATAATTATTTTTCTCTTCTTTCTTTATTTTATCAAAAATTCAATTTTTTTATGACATTGATTGGTTTTGTTCGACTTTTCTCCTCAAATATCAAGTGTGTGTGAGGAGGAAATGTCATCAGTTATTCCCTATTGACTAATTCAGAATGATTTATGCAAAGGAAAAAAGTGTGATTTAAACTGCAAAAAGTTTAAATAATAATGAAACATATACACTTTCTTTCAATAAAACTTAGTCATCCCATAAACATAAAAAAAAATCTCCCCTTCTTGTGTTTTTTGTAGGTACCAAATCTCTTTTCTTGAATCTTATAGCTTTCGAGCAGTGTCATATCGACTCAAGCAACGACATAACATCCTACATAATCTTCATGGACAATCTAATAGATTCTCACGAAGATGTTAGTTACTTGCATTACTGCGGTATTATCGAACATTGGCTAGGGAGCGATTCCGAAGTCGCGGATTTGTTCAACCGTTTATGTCAGGAGGTTGTTTTCGACACCGAAGATAGCTATCTATCTCGGTTATCGATTGAGGTTAACCGTTATTACAATCAAAAGTGGAATGCTTGGAGGGCAACCTTGAAACACAAGTACTTCAATAATCCATGGGCAATTGTCTCTTTTTCTGCTGCGGTTATTCTACTAATTCTCACATTATCTCAGAGTTTTTATGCTGTTTATGCTTATTACAAACCAGCTTCTTAACCTTTATTGTTTTTATAGCTTACCTTCACTCAAAAGGAAATTTTTGCAGTATTATCTTCATTATTATAGTTACACTTGGGTGTTGAAACAGTTATGGT